TGGAGGAAGGGAAATTGTGAGGATGACCCAAAGATCACCATCCTCATAGTCGGTATGGAAGTGGAAAGATTATTCTTAGGTGATGCTTTTCTGGTACAGGACAACTTCATCACATTGAGAGGCCAGTGGACCGAACCGTGTACTGTAAAATCTTGGATGACAAACTTCTTCTCTTAACTAGCTACAAGAAACGTCTTACAGCTGTCCTTTGCAACAAGGGTTTATCCACCAAGTCATGTTTTGCTTGAGTATCACATACTTTCTTCACCCAATGACATGTTGTGGATTTTTGGTTGATATCCTGTGTCTCCAAAATGAAACTACCACTAAAATTAGAGAGTGTTTATATCTTTATAAGTGAGCAAACTTACTAGATCAGCAGGGGCTCAAATAATTGTTTCACCCACTGTACCTGCATATTGATGAGTGCCTGTAGCACCAGCTGTTGGGCCATGCAGTACTATCTTTCTAATTTGCAAATGTTATCTCACTGTCAGGAAACCTACATTTTTATTTATTTATTTATTTATTTTTTTATTTTGGGGGGGGGGTGTTTTTTTTTGGGGGGGGGGGGGGGGTTGTCAGTTCATTTTCCTGTATTTTTGAAGGTGTTCAGGTTGACCTTCTATAGGTTATGTATTGCATTAGCTAAAAAAAATACAAAAAAATATGAATTTAGAGTATTCTAATGAGGATTGTGAAAACTGAAAAAAAAAATGGGATGAAACTGTTGGGTTGTATTTTTTTGCCCTAATCAATCAAAGCACTCTTGCTTATGCAGATGATGCTGATGCTAATGGTGCCAGGCTCACTCTGTGTTCCTATCAATTAAAAGGAAGTGGTCAGCAATTCATCATCCTCCATGTAACATGCCATGTTGTGTAATGCTCTGTATGCAGAGTGTGTGCGTGCAGATTTGTGTTTGCTTTAAATCCTGAAAATGTACATGATTTATTTTGTACAATTACGCAAAACACAGAGTAGACTTGCTTAACTATGTGCTGTTTTAATCTAGAAAAACCATTAGAAGTAAAGAGAGGATATATACACAGACCTCCCTCTCGCGCCTGAGAATAATGATTTTTTTAACCACCTTCTAACAGAACCAATCTTGGGAATAATTTTTGTCATAACTGGAAAGTCTATTCCGTGCTTGGCAGGGGTATATTTGAATTGATTACAGCTGTGGAGGGAGATAGGGGAATCACCTTCCTCCACTGACAGTACAGTTTGGGTTACAAACCGGAGATTTGCATTGCATTATCCGTCACAGTTTCTATAGGCTTTATTCTGTTAAAGTGCCAGGGGTCTTTTGAGGACATATCTACAGTAGGAAAGTAGCAGGAGTTATTGTTGAACAGTAATAAGTCATTCAGGCTGTGGCACAAGATACTGAAGGGAATCTGTCATGCTTTAGAAACATGCTGACATTGCTGAGTTTGATAGTATTCAGTATATTGACAGGTTCAAGGACAGCCTGTATAATAATAAGAGATTTGTCCCAAGAGGAAGTGGTATTGTGCACCAATTTAGATGCTTGCAGTAACAGCTGCTTATCAAGGTTATAATGATGCATTTACATGTAGTTTTTAAAGGGAACACCATAAAAATGTGGCATTATTGGTCCTCAGAATTGGGGACTTAGAAGAGGTAGAAATGTGTTGAGGCTTGGATAACCTGAGAGCAACACAAACTACACATTGAGAACTGGCTGTACTGTATTTTTTCAATGTAAAATTATGAAAATGATTACATTGTAAATGTTATGTCTCTATAGTATTTCAGTTCAACTTCAGTACAGTTCAAATATGGTGGAAAATCTTTCATATGACAATCTAGTTTCCCTTCATTCTAAATATCTGCTACTATAGTGTATCTTTTTTTCCAAAATGTGTCATTTGACCAAAATGTGCTTTTCTTTCACAATTACTCTGAAGGTAAAGAAGCCTGATCATATCAGACATGACAATTCTAGTCTAAGTCTAAGCAGTTCATATGCTTGTAAGCTTCATATCTCTGTCAGTCCTTCATGTCCTAGGAATAGCATGCTCCGTGTTTGAATTTGCATATGACTTTGCGAGTTTTTATAGATTTAAAAGCATCCTGTGTTTTATGAATCATCCTTTTCCTGTCTGGAATACCATTTCACAAATGAAAAATATATCAGACTCAATGCAGAAGATGGAAAGGGCCCCTCATGATTTATTCATTCACACAGAGTGAATTTAACACTTTTAATGTTACGGAAAGCCATTACAGCTCCAGCAGGAAATTTGACATCACACAACACAGCATATTAACTAACGTAACTTATTTATGGCTGTCAGCAACCTTTAACACCGAAAGAGCCATTTGGACCCGGTTTCCATGCAAAAGAAAACACTGGGAGCCGCAAATACTTTTTGACATCTAAAATAAAGATAACGGGCAGCACGGTGGCACGGTGGTTAGTACTGTTGCCTCACAGCAAGAAGGTCCTGAGTTCAATTCCACCATCAGGCCGGGGTCTTTCTGTGTGGAGTTTGCATGTTCTCCCTGTGTTTGCGTGGGTTCTCTCCGGGTACTCCGGCTTCCTCCCACCGTCCAAAGACATGCAGCTTGTGGGGATAGGTTAATTGGATAATACAAATTGCCACTAGGTGTGAATGTGCGAGTGAATGTGAGTGTGAATGGTTGTCTGTCCTTGTGTGTTGGCCCTGCGACAGACTGGCGACCTGTCCAGGGTGTACCCTGCCTCTCGCCCTATGACAGCTGGGATAGGCTCCAGCGCCCCCCGCGACCCTGAAAAGGATAAGCAGAAGTGAATGGATGGGTGGAAATGAAGATAACACTGTATATATTGTTTTTTACCTTTATGCTTTTTGTGAACAACTATGGTGTGTTGCTTAAGAAATCCATGAAGTGCTACAGAGAAAGTTACATTTTATTTATGTAATTAACACATTTTGAACTCTTAAAGAAATATAACAAAAGGAAAGACACCCAGCTGAACTAAAATGATCCATGTAGCAAACAAAAACTGTTGTGAGCCGCCACCCTTATATCGCCTTTGGGCTTTTGGAGCCTTGACCTGACTTTTAAAAAGTAATTGGAAAAAAAGCACTATGCTGCTAAAAAATGGAAAAATAGATATTTGCAAAATTCTGTCTAAATATGTATTTTTACCAGGTTAAGGTGTGTGGCGGGGCGTGGTCTGCAGCGCTGCTGCAGGGGAGGCGGACGCACCTGAGCGGCACCCGCAGTCACGCCTCGCCGCCTTAACGCCTGTGCTATCTGTGCTGTTGTGTTGGTGTGTGTCGGGCTGTGAGCTGAAAAGCTACAGCCGGCTGTGTGCGTACAACAACCGTGTGTGAAACGTGGTCAATAAAGAGAATCTGAAAAGCATGTTCATGCAAACATCGTCGGGTCTGCCGTGATATGTTTACAATGGGACTTCTGCTCCTGAACCTCTGCGCATATCCCATATGCGCACAGCGTCTGCAAATCGGGGCTGTATGAAGTCACTTTCATCTTTATGCAGAACTATAAGCTGTCATCTGTGAGGCGTGAGCGGTGTTTGTTTGTGACACAGTGGAGAATAGCCGCTGACATAATGTGGATCCGAAGATCCATAATTGGCCTACCTGGGGTTGAAAGTCTCGATAAATGCACGTTTCGGCGGGTATACCGGCTTCCACGAGTGTGACGCTTATTTTGAGCGATGAAAAAATAATAAAATATAATTTTATTTTTATATTTCAATATCACAATAATCTTCCAATTTAGAAGTGCAAGTTTTAAAAAAAGAAGAACTAACATAAATAAAATACACTTCAGCTAAATACTTCTAATTTATTTTCCCAAACCACGAGGACCGCACTGTAAGGACTAAAGAGCCGCATGCGGCTCCGGAGCTAGGTAAATGATTTGGCTTTACTCATGTATAAGTGCTTGAGCTTAAGAAATCCAAAGCAGAACAAAAACAAAGATGAGACAGGGTTTGAGAGGAGAGGAGTTTCACTGTGTATCTGCATGTGGACAGACAGAGTGCGTGAGTGAGGATGTCTCCATCTACTTTGAGAGGTACAATTTTCTGGGCATACCTCTGGCTTCATGCTATCTTGTTGACAGAACTAAATTGATGTGATTTGATGGTGCAGCAGCACCCACACTGACAAACATAACACCACTCCCTGCCAGTTTCTTCCTTAACAAAGCAGAGATAAAATACCCAGATACACTTACATTTTGTATGCCTTCGAATGGAAACAGAAAAATAAACAAATAAATAAACAAACAATGACTTAGATTAAACTTTCGCTGACATGACATGTCTTAGCTTCATTTCACATTTTTACCTATTGCTAAACAAGAAAGTAAAAATGAAATATCCCCTCTTAAACACAACCCCTTTAAAGGCACCAAGTGTATTTTAATAAGGAGCCAAGTGGTTAGCAATGCACATAGTCTTCAGTGGGATTAAGAGGCTTTGAATGGTTGAGGCCATTAAAATCTACACCAGCCCAGAAGTCCTGGAGCGCCTTATGAGTATCATTAGGATTAACAAACCCAGCCTGTGAAAGCTCTCACCCCAGGAGCATAGCCACCTCTACCCTTGCACCATTATTGTGTTTGGCTGAGTGCCTGATAAGAGTGATTCAGCAGCACACGATAAAGCTCTGGTCCCAGTTTATCTGTTTAAGCTTTCATTTCACTGGCCATCCCCAGTGAAATGTGACAACAGCAAGATCTGCATCCACCAACTCATCTGTGTAAAATAAAAAGCTATGGTTTCTATAGGCTGAGTACAATGGCCTTTAATTCTAATACTGCAAACACATTGCATGGCATGAGCGAAGAATAGAGCCAGAAATCTTTGAAATGCTTGTGGAGGAAGAAAATCTTCTTTGTGCATGTGTGTGTGCTTTGCGTTCTAGAGAGATTTCAGGGATTTGACCATCAGCATGTTGAGTCATCATTCACTAACTCATTTCCTGCTTCCTTCCTCTTCAACTCCTCAGATCTTCCACATGACCTATGACCTAGCCAGCGCCATGGTACGAATAGTCAATCTAATCGGCATGATGCTGCTGCTCTGTCACTGGGATGGCTGCCTGCAGTTCTTGGTGCCCATGCTCCAGGACTTCCCTGCTGACTGCTGGGTGTCCAAAAATAAGATGGTGGTAAGTGCTTCTCCTGCACACAGTCCTCCTGCCTTTTCAAATCAGATTATGCTCTGTCTTATCTTGTCTGTCAGCCTCAGTAATTACTGTTCTAAAACTCTTCAGCTTCCTGGGTAAGACTGCCTTCCATATCTGTCATTTTAAACCCTAAGTCAAATATGTTTATCTGCTACATTTGTCCACATTTATTCAATTTACTGATCATTTTTATTTATTTGGAGCTCTTGACATTTGTCATTATTGTGAAAGGAGGATGTGCATGGAACATTGACTTTCTGAGGGAGACAGCTATCCCTTATCCAATATTGGCTGGATATTGACAGTTTCCAGTGAGCACACATGCTGAGCTTTAATTTTGTTGTTTTGCTGAAACAGCTGCCAGAATAGTGGGTCACCGGAGATCTCTTTTTTATTAGCTCAAGGGAGGGGGGCTGCATCACCGTGGATATTCTGTTCACCCAAAACTGGTCTCATGTCAACTTGTGACGTTATAAAGTAATTCAGATATTGTCAGATTTTGGGGGTGAGAAGTGGTCTGATTTCAGTGAATATTCATTACCACACTGGAGCTTGACCAATATCTCAATCAGCTGATATAATTGCTTGGTATTAGCCTACGGCAACATCAATACTGACTCCAAAAATTCACAATTAGTGCGCTCAAGTCTTCTACAGCACCTTACTAAGGAATCTGATTTCACAATTAGCAATACCACCTACCCCATATAGGTACACTAGTGAATTCTAGTAGATTATGTACTCACTAAATTCTCAGACTGTGAGACTGCAGTGAAATTTAGACACAAAGGTTTTTACTGCAGCACTTACGACTCACTTGCTGAACAAAGCAAGTGAGTAATACTGCGTGACATACCATTTGATTATTTAGCAGTTAGCATTAGCTCTGTTCCCCTGGCTCATTGAAGTGTTTTGTGGTTTTTAGTACTGACAGATATACTGTATGTTCAGTCAGTCAGCTAATCCTGAGTGTCTTTTTAAACCAATTGTCTGTCTTTTCAGCATTTATAATTTTTTTAGTATTACAATTATAATAAATTGCAGCATCTACCTATCGTTGGCTTACACTCTTACCAAACAGCCCCAGTAATGAATCAATAGTGAGAGTTTAAACTGATTTCAAGTTTCAGCAGGCTAAAGTTTCATGTGTAAGGAAATATATGTTTTCTAGACAGAATAAGTTAAATTGGTTTGACATATACATTATTTTCAGCAGAATTTGATAAATATTTACTACTTATTTATTTACTTCAACAGTTACTAATAAAGTAAACAAAAAAAGGAAATATTGAATAATCATACATTTAAGGACTAACAAAAAAAATCATACACAAAATCTCAGTTTGAAATATATATATAAAGCTGCTTCAGTTCAACTGTAAGTTCAGCTCTCTATGCCGGAACAAATGTCACATAGTTGCATTGCTCAAGGTATGATCTATTTGGTTAAGCATGCCTCGCTGCCTCCCTGACATGCTCACTTGTTTCACTGAATCTGCCTCACTTATATTTAAGCATAAGAAACAGCAGATGTTGAAAACTACTGTCCCTTGAGATGTTTCATGCTTAAGATAATTTTAGCTCGTTTTCTACATGTGTCTCATTGCAGAGATGCACACTCAAAACAGTGGCTCCATTTCGTGGACAGTGTGAAAAAAAACTTTAATCAAGCTCCCAATCTAATCAACCTGTGTTTAATTATCTTTTCGAGAAAAGATTGAGATTTCTGTTGCATTGTTCTCTTCCAGTTCTATAGTCTTTTTAGCCCCTCTTTGCTACATACATACAATACATTTCACCCCCACTTTGATATTTGATACATTAAGCAAATGTGCAAGCGGATTATTTTAAGTTACATAAGGCTGAGCTGTCAGGATACATAATGTAAACTGTGGCTCGTGATTAAGGTTCAAAAAGAATGCATGCATTAAGATACAATTTAATGTCTTGCTTTGCGGCACAGAAAACTAGGATATGATTGCTGTGCTAATCTCTTTGTTTTGTTCTGAAAAACATATTTGAACTGTGTATACATTGAAAAATCCAATATAACACCACAGGCTACATAAAAACGCAACAAAGCAAAGCAGATTTAAAAGTCATGTAAAACAAACCAATCACATTTTCCTGCTATGTGTGAGTATTTTTAGATAAATGTTATTTATTATACTTAATACCAAAGCTTACTTTTACCCAAATCTAATTTAGATGTAAGTCAAATGATTTTCAAATGTAGTAGTACCATTATCTCTCCATCTCAGTGACTCTAGCATATGACCTGCCAAATTCCTTGTCGCTAGTTGATTTGATGCAGTTCTGACTAGATTATATTTGGGCATTTACTCTTTGTCATGTTGTTACAGCTCAGAGTTCTGTATCCATAACTTCAACTGGCTGCTTCCTAAGAAGCAGCCAGTTGCTCTGGGAGCATCAAGAGCATTACACTGGATGCTCCCAAATGCATCCAGTGTAAAGAGGCCCGGAGATGTGAAGGAAAAAGATTCATAATGTACTTACTTTAAATCCCTGTGTGAGGGATGTAGCCTCTTATTAACATCAAAATGGAGTTTGTTTTGTTTCACACAGTAAACACTGTCTAATTAATTGCATTACGTACAACGGTTTTCAATGTGACAGAATAACAAATATATTTTTTTCTGAATTAATTTAAGCCTCAGGGCAGGCATTTCTCTGTTGGAAAGCACCTCGTGTTTTTGCTCACATTACCTGGTAGAAGAAGAGGTTGTTAGTATTGATAACTGTGATTCAGTCGTGGTTGGTTTGACTCTCATTCGAATGATTACAGATTTTTTTTTTTCCTTTTTTTGTTTTTTACAGTAGCTGTCCTATTATCTTGCTAGGTTATCACTCCTTACCTTTCCAGGAGGGCACTAATAAAATTGCTATCAGTCCCGGCTTTTCCACTGTGGAAATGAGTTTGAAAGCAATTTGGACATGTCACCCCCAGGAGAGAGTTGATATTGATTTGCCATGAACCACCACCGGGAACTAAAGGAAAAGGGGCAATTTATCTACAAATTAGAAAACTCACAGAGAAATCACATTTTTCTAAATAGCTGACCTACTTTCTGTCATGCAAGCCTCCAGTGTCTCACGCTCTTTCTGCTGATTCCCAGGGCTCTGTTTTAGGCGGCTACCCAAATGTCTGCTTGCTCCAAATGTTTGCATACTGAAAAGTATATTTTACCCTGCCAGCTGCTCTGTACTGGACTGAGAGAGTTTGAAATGGACATCTGCCATTAGTTTTGTCTTAAGTAATTGCATGTGTCTGTGAATGTTCATGGGCTGCCAGGGTGTTCTTTGACCTGAAATGTGCCATCAGCAGCCGTGTTGAGATTGCAAGAGAGCAAGCGAGGAAGTGTTCAGATGTTCTCACCCTAACTCACCCTGTCTCCTCTGTTTCATCTAGAATGACACATGGGGACAGCAGTACTCCTACGCACTTTTCAAAGCTATGAGCCACATGTTGTGTATTGGGTATGGCATGTACCCCCCAGTGGGCATGACAGACGTGTGGCTGACCATCCTCAGCATGATTGTGGGTGCTACTTGCTACGCCATGTTTGTGGGCCACGCCACTGCGCTAATCCAATCTCTGGACTCATCTCGACGGCAGTACCAGGAGAAGGTGAGTCAAGATGGCATGCTATTGATGGTTGTGTTGTCTTGATTTACTTCAAAGAGAGGACAGTGGTGTGGATGCAGGATGCTGGCTTGTGCTCAGTTTAATACTCGTTTTTAGCTTTTAATGTAGCAAGTTTAATTTGATTGATATTTACATATGGCCCTAAACTGACTCACAGATAAATACAGTATGACAGTATGGTTCTGCTGAACTGGGGGTTTAACAGTCTAACACTGTGGGCCACAACCCTGCATAGTTAATATAAAAAAATATAGATACTAAAAAGTATGAATTTACATCAGACCTAAAGTATATATGTTTGTCTTTCTGCTTTCTTGTCTGCTCTTTCTCTCACTGTGTGGAAGTGTGCACCCTAGTCAAAAACCTATTTTTAACAACTCTGATGAAACATAATTCAAATTTTATTGGAACATATGACAAGGCTTTACTCTCAATACTAATATGTCTTAGATCAGTGATAATGAGCGTCGTCTCATCATCTTTTCATTACAGAAACAGCCTTTTATTCAGGTGAGCTTTAATGGGGTTTTAAATCATTTATCACCCTAAATAAGTATATTTTAGAAAGGCACTAGATATATATTGTGCCTTTTTTCTTTGCCAGCAAAAGTGCAAAAAGCAAAATGGTTAAAAATTTGTCCTCATTTTCTACATAATGTATAGACACAGAAACCCAGATTTCCCTGGTTTAGGGAAAGGAAAGCCCTGATGGCTGCCTATGAAGCCCGAGACATGTTCCACACTGCCATGCCCTCTGTGGGCCCAGCGTGGGCGATAATGAGCTGAACTGCTCGCCTGCCACATTACCCACCGTCTGTAGCGAGTAAGAGACAGGAGAGAACGACCTCCAGGGAATGGAGGCACAGGTTCGAGAGATCGCACCTAAATGGAAGAGGGAAAATGAAAGTGAAAGATTTCAGAGAAAACAGGACCAGGCACACAGGCAGAGGAACAGCTTAGCTAATGTAATGTGTGAGCAGGACTTCTTCAAAAGGAGAGAAACTGCACTGGATAAATTAACACTTTGTGATTCTAGGGAATGAGTAACGAATAGATTAATTTCCCAGTTAAAAAGTTGAAAAATCCAAAAAAGTTCAGCTTGTAAGTTCATGACTAATACTGATCTGAGAAGCTGTTTAATGAAACGGGGGGAAACCAGCTCCCACCACGACATGTCTGCTCCTCTGTTTTTGAGATGCCATGCTGCCAAGTAGACTGAACAGCTGGTCTGCCTCAGCACCAGTCAGCATGTGCTACAGAAGCCCTTGGCTGCCATTTCTGGGATCGCCCCCTAAGGCGCCTTAAGAATCCCCCAGCCACTTGAAAAGTTTCCCCTGTGTTCCCAACGGTTCCCACAGTGCCTGCGTGCAGAAGCGTTATTACTGCCAACTGCAATTAATTTTTAAGAGTCCAGATTCTCTCATTTATCTTTCCGCAAGGCTCAGTGATAACGCATGCTCAGAGTACACTGTCACTGTGTGCTCATTTGGCTCTGGGAGCAAGATAGTAGTGATTTCTACTACACAGCACTGGACCCATTTCTCCTTTCTTCTTATCAGAGTTAGTTCATTCAAAGACATAAACCTTTTTCTCATATCCTGTTGCATCAATTGTGTGACAATGGGATCTGCTTGCTGCAGATTTTCCTTTTCCCTTTAATACCATAATCCACACGCTCAAGAAGCTGGAAATCCATTGGCAATCCATAGAGGTTTGAGAAGTCTGGTGGCTGTTGGGCTGCCATGACAGGGACAGCTGTTCTTGTCTGTGGGGACTCAGACTTCATATAAATCTCCTAGCAGAGCTGCCATCACCAAAGCCAACTGCCAGCCTGCCATCATACAGGAAGTTATTCTAAACATTTTGGTTTGACTGGGTGAGTCAGTGCTGTCCCATAAGCTTGGTTGCATCCCTTTAAATAATCAGGTCAGGGTGTGATGAAAGGTATTTGCATTTTCAGTAAAATTAGTTGACCTTTAAAAACTGTTCACAGTGTGAGGCTTTGAATATGACAAAGATGAGGTTCAACTTAATAATTACAAATAGTGTTAGCCCTACATATTTGCATATGACATGGCAATATAAAATAAAAAGTGGTTGTTCAGGTGTTAGGTATGACATGATAAATAAGAGGAATTAAGGGAAAGAAAGAAATAGGCAACATAAATTAGAAAATATAATGGAAGCTTGGAAATATGCAGCTGTAATATATATGAGGCAAGATCTACAAAAACGTCAACACAATAATCATAACATTCATGTTCTAATTTGAATTTGTTTTAATCACATATTCTGTAATTATAACCTGAATAAAAAAATTGGCCATCATAGGCATAAAATATATTGCCATGCATGCACATCTTTGTTAACTCATCAGAAATCAAAAAAGGACCTCTTTTACTCAACTGTTTCGAAAACGTAATTGAAACACTTTTTTTTTTTATCACTCAGTTTATTCAAAAACTGGCAGCGTGGTGGTGTGCTAGCTGTGGCCTGAGATGAGATTATATTAAATGATGATCCTAAAGTGGCCATAACATTGAGTCTATCTCTCAATGTTATCTCTGTGAGAGATTGGCGACCTGTGCAGGGTGTATCCTGCCTCTCGCCCAGAGCTGGGATAGACTCCAGCCCAACTGTGACCTTGAATTGGTGTAAAGTAAAGTGACACTTTACAGTCTTCTGTTATGATTTATGATAGTTTACAAAAATCTTTCCTTCAGTCTGATTCACAGGCTTTGCCAATTTTTACAGAAGCCATTTCTGTTGTTTTATGAAATCTCTATCTACATATCTATTTATGGAATGGGATTTCTAAAGCCTTTGAGTATAACACATTTAAGAGGGCTGAAAAACAAACTCTGTTACAGATATGTAGGTATGTATTGTTGGTCTCTTGTAAAAATCACACTGTTTTATACCTAGTTTGGTGTGCTGATTTAAGTGTTGGATAGCTGATTTTGGACCTAAAAACTAAAAGATAATACATTTGGATTCAGTAGGAAATGTTGCCAGTAACTTGTGTTGATTGTTTGAAAGCTGAAAAGGCCCTCTAGTATTTTTCTTTTCTTTTTATTGCTTGGAAGCCTGACACCAATATACCAGCGACGTTGTAAACTACACTGTAAAACTGCATAATTTACATGCACCAACAGTGCAAAGTACTTTGAATTATGACTTATCTCTAATGCAGACACTATGCAGTCCCATTAATCATAATGTGCTTTATGCTTCCTATTATGCAGTTGTACTATCACGAAAAGCTGGATACATGCTCTAGTAAGCAGATATATTGTACTATATAGCTATTGTGATTGTGCTGCAGATGACACTGGACCTGAGCCATCCAGCAAACAACCACATGGCAACAGCACAAATATTGCTCTCACAGTGGGGCCGAAGTAGATAGATACTGACCACTGTTTAATGATTGAAAGAAATGCAATAATGGATCAGTGTTGAGCTGAGCAGCACTGGTACCACATTTACCACATGTGCTCTATTTATCAGCTGCTAATCAGTTGTAAAAAAAAAAACAACAACAAAAAAACAACAAAAAAACAACCAAAACCAAAAAAAAAAAAAAAAAATCAGACTCTTGTTCATATAGCTATATGTCCAAGATGAGAGGCCACCTGTCCAGTTGGCATGCAGGCATGATATCCAAGTAACTGGTCAGATGGACAATGATTAAAAAAAATACTTTATGCAGGATTCTCAGAAGTGTACACATGGGAAAGAGGAAAGGATGATGAGGGGAGCTCTGCTTGCAAAGATGGTGAAAATTACCATCAGAAAGCTGGGGTATAATCTTTTCTGAATAGAATTCTATTAAATGTGGCACCATGTGATAAATGGCTGGGCTGTCAGATGCTAGCAAGCAGACTCAAATGAGCTCTTATGAAGCAGGCAGCATGTTAACTGTTACACCAAGTAGAGAGCACAGCAATTACACTACATATTCTGGGAGTTGGGGGAGCTGAATTGTAGTTTCCACTGAGATAAAAATGAATAAATAAATAAATAAATAAAATAAAATATATTCTTGTCGCCAGCTGTTAACTGTGTGTAAACAGATTAAGTAGTTTACATTCATTATGTGTTTGCTACTCAGCAGACACACCATATATCACATGTCAGTGGAGATTGCAGCCAACTGGAGCTGAAATTGGGACAATCTTTATCATTTCAAGTCAGCACCTGAAGGATGGTCACTGAGTGGTTTCTTCTGGATAGTGATGTATTCTGTGGTGTCTTTATTTGAACTCTACCCTCCCTGGTACAACAGTGAGTTTCAATATTGCTTGTTTTTCAGATCAAAACATGAATAATTTGCTTTATGTTAAGTTTTACAAAATTATTATTATTATTATTATTATTATTATTATTATTATTATTATTATTATTATTAATAATAATAATAATAATAATAATAATAAATGGGACAGCTTTTTAATATTTTTTTTACCAGCAATTTTATGTCATTAACCTAACTGTTGTTTACTCAGTGGGTTATAAAGAAGAAGAGTGCTCCACAACTGTATATCTAACTGTACTTGTTATTTTATACATTGACCAGCTATGTTATACCACACTGTAAAACAACATGCGCTGGAATCAGCCAGCCAGTTCATTTTTTTTTTAAAGTGCAGTATCACCATGCAGTGTAATCACATTACATTTTACACTTAAAGAAAATTAATGGCAAAAAATAAACTGCAAGTTTATATTTTTAATCAAATAAAACAAACTGCATTAAACATCAGTGTTAAGAGGATGTTGGAATCGGAGGGGTTAAGCATCAACCAGAATCCCACAAGAACTCTCCTCTCGTGTCTCAGGCATGTTGAGAATCATTATCACACAAAGAGAATTACATCTCTCCAGATTTGGGGCACAAGATGGCTGCACATGTGACTGTGCATACAGGGTATGCCTGCCACTCCAGCTCTCTGTAAGCTGCTGCTTATCTGTCACTTTGG